GGTGGTGGCAGGAGAGAGATTGACTCTCCCAGTGCTTATTGCTGCCTGTCGTGATAAATCACAGGACAATTGTCGGGACCTGGACGGTCCAGCTGTCCGTATACAACGGCTGGTGTTGGCCAGTAGTATCTGTGTGGGCTTGTGGGAGGATGTGTGTGTGTGTGTATGGGGGAGGGGGGGATGGTGTTTGTGTGTGTGTGGAGGGGGTTGGAGGTGCAACATTTTACAGGCTTGTATTTAGGTACGTCAGAGGTGAGGCTAGTTTATCATCATCTGCTGCGTCCGGACTGTATAAATCTAACACCTGATTCCTCGGCTGTGACATTTCAGGACTACTGTCAGGATTATTGCAATTAACCGGCTGCTGTTTTGTTTATAGCTGTATCGTTCAAGGTGTTAAGTCAGCTCAGAATGATGTTCCTGTATTTTCACTGTCTACTAACTTATGATTTAAACGTCGCTAGCATATTACTATAAGCTATGACTATATACATGTGTTGCAGCATACGTGTACTTACTTATCCAAAATTATACTTTTTATTGGAATGCCCGCACGTTGTAGAGAAAGGTGTTTGTTTGACATTCTGGGGCGGTCCGTTCTGTCGACCTAAATCTCTGTTTCAGTGGCGTTTGCATTATGAAAATCTGTCATTGATGAATTGTAGCTGTTGTTGGGCTGGATCGACTCAAAGTTCAGCTCAACCTGACTGTGATCCGCATGGAGAGAAAAATGTTGTTACAAGCAAAAGGTATTATACATTTATTGGTAGATAGATAGGTACAGACAGACAAATAGCGGTCAGAAAACGAGAAGAAATGGAAGAAAAAGAAGAAGAAGAAGAAGAAGAGAGAGAGATAGAGAGAGAGAGGGGGGTGAGAGAGGGAGCGAGAGAGACAGAGAGAGAGAGAGAAAGAAAAGGAGGGGGGCAGAGTGGGAGAGTAGAGAAACACGGAGAAAGGGTGAGATAGACAGATAGACAGATAGATAGATAGATAGATAAATAGATAGATAGATAGATAGATAGATAGATAGATAGATAGATAGATAGATAGATA